TGTGGGAAAGTAGGAGGACTTGGAAATTTACCAGCTGGAGCACTGAAAACACTTCAAATATGCTCCTCTTTCTATTCAAGATGATTCAGGAAAAGGAATAAGTGCCACCGACAGTCTGGAAGGAAGGACAACTCACCAAGATACCAAAGTAGAAAAATCTGAGCAAATGTGAGAACTACAGAAGCATCATACTACTGTCAGAACCAGGAAAAGTTTTCAACAGCGTTGCTGAACATCACGAAAGATTCAATAGACGTCCCGATTCGAGATCAACAGGCTGGATTACGTAAAGATCGGTAGTGCACAGACCAAATCACGACACTACCAGTTATCATTGAACAATCAATTGAATGGAATTCGTCACTATACATCAAATTGATTGACTATGAGAAAGCGTCTGACTGTGTGGATTGGAGAACCATATGGAAACGTCTTCGATACAATGAAGTGAGTATCTGAGAAAATCATCAGCGTCATCCGGAATTTGTCCGACGGACTACACTGTAAAGTCGTGCATGATGGACAGCTGAAAGATACATTCGGACTGAGGACTAAAGTCAGACAACATTGCCCACCCTCACCATCTCCTTTTCTTGTGGTTGTTGATTGGATTATGAAGACCTCAACATCTGAGGAGAAGCATGGGATACGATGGAGAGCTCGGAATCAATAGGAAGATTCGAACTTTGCAGATGACCTAGCTCTGCCATCTCATACAAACGAACAAATACAGATGAAGACAACTAGTGTAGCAGGAACCTCTTCAGCAGTAGGCCTCAACATACACAAAGGAAAAAGCAAGATCCTCAAATACAACACCAAGAACACCAACCCAATCACACTTGATGGTGAAACTCTGAAACGGATGCAAATTTTCACGTACCTGAGCAGTATCATCGATAAACAAGGGGGATCTGAAGCAGATGTGATATCAAGGATTGGCAAAGCAAAAACAGCATTCATACAGTTGAACAATCTATGGAACTTAAAACATCTGTGTGTCAAGCAATATCAAAGTCACAATCTTCATTAAGAGTGTCAAGACAGCTAGTTCTACTGTACGGAGTTCAAACTTGGGGAATCAGTACAACCATTATCAAAAAGTTACATGTATTTACGAATAGTTGTCTACACAAAATATTCAATATCCTTTGATTGGATACCATTAACAATAACCTATTGTGGGTGAGAACAAATCAGCTTCCAGATGAAGAGAAAGTTAAGAAAAGATGTTGGAAGTGGATAGCACATACATTACAGAAATCGCCAAACTGCATCACGAGGCAAAACCTTACTAGGAATCCTGAAGGGAAGCAGAAAAGAAGAAGGTCAAATAACACATTACGTCAGAAAGAGAAGCATATATAAAAAGGATGAATAATAACTGGAAGGAGCTTGAAAGTATTGCCTATGACACAGTTGGATAGAGAGTACCCTTTGGCGGCCTATTCTCCTCCAGGATGAGTTACAGGCGTAAGTAAGTAATCGTCAATCGAAAGTGGAATGCCTAGTGGCAGAAAGTTGGGAAGGTCAAAGAAAAGAGTACGACAACAGAGAGTAATTGGTATGGAAACGAAGGAACAACAAAGTCTGAAACAATCGATTGATATTTTACAAATGAAGTATTTACTGCACGGTTCTCACACTTTATTAAGATATTCTGTAATATGTGTATTCAAATACATTCCACTGTACCCACTTGTGTTCTCATTCACTACACTACTACTACTACTACTACTCTTATTTCTATCGCTTAAGAAGAATACACTCATACATGAATTACATGGAGGCGAATCAATCCATCAATCTTTTGATTGACACATCAAGTATGTTGCTTTCTGTGAATGCTATCATGGAAACTAATTATTACGAATCCACATGTGAGTGTGTGAGTGTGTGTGCGTATGTATGTGGAGGCGTATGCTTCCAATAATGTATGTTCATGAATGGATATGCATGTGTGTGTGTGTGGGTGTGCGTGATTGAGTAAGAAGAAAAACAATATAAGTGACACAGTGTGTATAGATTACCCATTTCGCCATCTGAAACACATTATACACAAACTATCTCTAATTCACTCCGACTATTTTCTGCTTAACTCACAGCTTCATTCAATATCAAAATAAACACGGTCATAACAACACAATCAACGGTCAGTGATCAACACACACACACACACACACGAATATCATACAGTTAATTGTCAGTGAGATATCCGAACATAATAGAGATAGACAATTCGCATTGATAAATAATTCTGGCAGTAACAATTCAATCGACACGAAGTTATCGAAAAGCCAGTCGTAGAATAAATATGGTTTCGTGTGCAGAGAAATATGCCAACAAACAGCATATTATCGCTGATCGTCTACGATTGACTTCAAGTCCATTGGTGCGTGCATGTTTGGGCGAATTCATGGGTTCAATCATTTTGATGATCTTCGGTAGTGGTGTGCTAGCACAAGTGATCCTGGGTGATCATGGCAGACATGCTCATGGAACATTCATTTCGATCAGTATGGGGTGGGGTTTCGCAGTGTACATGGCAGTGATGTTCTCAGGACAGTATGGTTCTGGACACTGTAATCCAGCAGTGACTTTGGCAGCTGCAGTCGTCGGTAAACTGCCATTCCGTCGTATACCGTTTTATACATTCTTTCAAATACTCGGTGCTTTCCTCGGTTCATTGGTTGTCTTCGCCTTATATCGTGAAAAAATCATAGAATATGCCAACTTGCATGACAATGGGAAGTTGTTGGTGAATTCCACAGGTGGTATATTCGTCACTAATCCATCGGCATCTCATCTCACATGCTTTCTCGATCAAATTCTCGGCACTGCATTGTTGACAGCAGGAGCGTTCGCCATCACCGATCCGAATGGATGGAAACTCCCAGATTACTTACACCCACTGCATTTGGCATTTATGGTCTACGCTATTGTTGGTTGTTTCGCATTGAATGCTGGAGCTGCTCTAAATCCAGCTCGTGATTTGGGACCCAGACTCATGATATTTATATTCGGTAAGTTGTTCATTTCCCATTCATACTATTCACTTGCTCTCAATTCTCACTGATGAGTACTAACAGTTGCATGAGTAGACTCGCATTTTACTTCATTCATAAACATAACTGAAACTCAGATGATATCACTTCACAAATCGACCGATTAACTCACTGATTAACTAACTGACCGACTAGAACGAAACGGCCGTCCAGTGCTTTCACATTTTCCATGATGATCTAGCTTCAACTGACTCATGATTTCAATCCGTGAAATCAAAAATGGTCAATCAACTGTAAAATATGAGAGAGAAGATTGTTGATGCAAAGTTGAGTGACAGGTTGACGATGAATGTGTCCTATATTCATACGGTCGAACATTTTGCAGTGTCTCACACAGGTCATTTCATTTGCATTGAGATACAGCGTATTGGGTGGATTATGTTGATGTGCTCAATGGGAATTCACGATCAAATGTCATTGTAGACGAGAGTGGAAATCCATCAGAGGAAGGATTAATATGATCTCATACTTTTAATAGGAGATTCTAACATGATTCGAAAAAGTCATTCAATTTGGTTTCTTAAGTGTCGATACAATCACACAAATGTATGGATGATAGATAACTTCCATTTGCCTTGGTTATCGTGCATGCTTACACTAAACTGAACATAGTGATGTCACTTCTGTCGTGAACTACTGAACATAACTCACTTTGTACTACTACTTAAATTCATGTAGTCATCTCTTGCATAGAATTACCACAGTTCGTATCCAAATATTTTCAATATATTCAATGAATAACATAACGATCAATATGCATCACATTCAGTTTGTAATCTATCCACATATTCTCACTTTATTATACACCGTTTTTCATATCACATGTTTAGGTTGGGGTAACCAAGCATTCAGTGGAGGAAACTACTTCTTCTGGATACCAATAGCTGGACCGTATATTGGTGCTGTGATCGGTGCAGTCTTATACGAATTGACTATCGGTATACATTTGGATAGGAAATCCGACTTCGTTGTGGACATTGATTATGAAGAATCACAACGCGATAGTAAGAAGTTGATGGCGTCTGCATCACCATAATCGTCGACAACCAGAAACATTCCTCCCACTCCTTCTACTCTAACACGCACACACAAACAAACAAACAAACACACTTTTATCACCGTTCATGCATAACAACCATTCTCATTGTTTTCATCATTCAGATTTTCTAAATATTTAACATTGTAAAATAGTCTGTTGATTCACGTTTCATTCAGATCACTTGATCATTCGATGTGAACATCTATGCCAAAATACAAGATATGCAAATACACAATTCATGTTCTCAATAAAATCGAAAATACACAATTTGGTAAATTCACTGATGAAAGTATTTGTTTGTTGTTTTTCGGTAGTCTTATTGAAACATTCTGTCTCAGAACATTCGGCACATGGAACACGTTCACACCTCACTGGACGTGATCAGGAGTGTAATATTGGTTTAATCAAGCTTGTGCATTCTCACTTCACACCGAATCCCGTTGACCACTAAACTGACAACTCGGATCAATGTAGATCGACAGTGTGTTTTATTACACAGTGTGGTAGAACGTCCACAGATTACAAACTAGAGAATTGTGAGATGTTTGAGAAATACAAACAATTGTTCAATTCATAAAGCGCTCTCCTCATTATGATTAACATTTGTAGATTAGTTGAAATGAACAGGTGTGACTAGTCGAGTGAATAGAGTGCTCATAACATACACCGATGTTGTGTAATGATGAATATTCCGTTGAAACACAGAGCATTATCCCACATCTATTCATCATCACCATTACTACTAATTTCACAAATGATCACTCACTCAATTCACACGGTTGTAGAGTTACAGAGTTCAAGAGAACAATCAATATTCACACATTTCTCATCATTGAAAGACATCAGTTGAAATGGCAGGAGTTAAGTTACTTTAATGCATACCATCCATTTGACACTCATGCGAAATTAGCTAGTTCAGGTATTGATTGGAATGATGATGATGATGATGATGATGATGATGATGATGATGATGATGATGATGATGATGATGATGATGATGATGATGATGATGATGATGATGATGATGATGATGATGATGATGATGATGATGATGATGATGATGATGATGATGATGATGATGATGATGATGATGATGGTGTTTTCTGCATCTGCGTTTATCTTCCGGCAAAACACTATCACTCAATCACAAATGCATCACAAAGCACAATCAATCACAAAGCAATACAAACAACTCAGGTGTGTAATCACAATATACTAGTGCAAACTAAAAATAAACATCTGATAACATGTAGGCTGGTTGTTTAGTAGCGCACTTATCATTGATTTCGAATTGTGTAATTGAGGGACCACATGTTCCATAAGATTGACAGATTGAATAATGAATGTGAGAACTGGAGAATATGGTATAGATAAGTATTTACTGAATGATTAGACGAAGTGATTCAGTTCTACTGAACATTCGTCATCAATCGAACAAGATTGTTTTGAATATGCATGATCACATAAATTCGTGAGGCATCATAATCAGTTGTTGAATAAGTACTATTTTTAAATATCCGTATTATGCACTACAAGCGACATCAATCTTTTAGACGATTTCACTCGTGACGTTGATTAATAAGTCATCATTCAGTTGAGATCCCGAATTTCGGAACATCATTTCAATCAATAAAATTATAAATAATGAGAGAATATTTGTGTCCATTCATTCACAATACACAATTACCAACTAAGACAGATCGATAATAGCCACGAATTTCAACCACAGAAAACTACAATCACCTAATAACATTTAGCCATTATTTGAACTCAGTAGAATAGGAGATAAACCGTTGAGGTTCGAAGATGGATTGAAACATTATTCGAAAATCAACACTCAGATACATGGGTGCATAGAACAAACGAGTTAGTAACATGTGCATGTATTTGGAATAATGCCGATTACTTACGTTTTAGTCTATACAATACTCAAAATCGAATAATCCCATAATATCACATAGATTTTATCATGTTGATTAACATTTGATGAAAATTTTGTTTAGTGAATAACCTAAGTGTAAGTGAATCACACCGAATTTGTCTGAACGCTTCAGAAAGCATCTTTCTGTGTTCGAATACTATTAATTCTAATCGGAATAAACTTCCCACTCACAACGCTAACATTCCCATATCCATTCAAACTACTACTACTACTACTACTACTACTACTACTACTACTACTACTACTACTACTACTACTACTACTACTACTACTACTACTACTACTGTGGTGTGTGCTACCGATGTCGACAGATACAGGTAGTATGTATCACCAGTCAGAAGTGGAATGCTTGGAGGAAGAACGGTTAGAAGATGGGCAAGCAGAGAGTGATTGATATGTAAATGAAGGAACAATAAAGTCTGAGACAACTGACGGATATTTTGTAAATGAAGTATTTACTGTATGGTTCTCGATTTCAACTCATTATCACATTCACTGCATGTAATCAACTTATACTAATTTGTCTTCCTAATCACGTTTCTAGATTATGACCGGTTGACTGACATCTTTCACTGTGTTTCCATATACACCATCAATGGCAAACACAAACAATCTCAGTAGTTCCGTTTATCACAATTCACTCATCAACATACTCCATCATTCAGTGATTGTATATGCTAGAGTATAGACAATGGTAATTTAGAGTAAAGTGTATACTTATTATGTAATATGTTGGTTGGAATGAATGAACGATTTTGTTACTTGTCTAATTGTCTATCGAAACTATGCATATCATATCAGGTATTTGAATTCATATGACTGAACAATGAAGGTTTGGTACATTTGTAACTGTTGGAATAGGAATCAGGTATATATGGTTCAGTTAACCAGTGTTGTTTATTGTTTGTGTATCTTCAATTTTGTGAAATGTACGAAATCGTTTAATACATGATAATATTGTTTATTCAGTGGGAACACTATTCACTTCATTATGTGTCTACAAGTCATGATTGATTTGATCTGAGAAAATCAGTGTATCAGTACACAGATCGTCATCTATTGTTTTGTGTTAAATAATTCTACATCTATTCTTCTTATAGTTGATATCAAATTTTCATGTTTAACTGGCATTCATGAATGGTACAATATCAAGTAATATCTCACTGTATTGATTTTGTTACCGAACAATTCACTCAGTGATATTCACTTTCACTAGACTCGTTGACAAGTTGTCTTCATGAAAACGAATGTGAATTAAATAGGAAACTTACTAATTCTTGCCGCTTCAACAAATTAGACTAGAATATCAAAGGTTTGTGCAATTCACAGTGGTCATCTTATACACTAATAAACATGTTCATGTGTGTTAACCAGTAATATTTTTAATGAACGTAAAGCAGTTTTACTGTCTGAATGCTTTCCCAGTTTGTTTTTCACAATCCCACACTGACGATTATTATAAGCTCAATTGTGACTAGTTTCAAATGGGAATTCTCGGAATATGTAATCAATGAAATTTACCATTGTCGTGTTTGAAAGAGTTACTCACTGAAGACAATGAAAACAGTTTTTCAATATCGTTGATTGATTGAAGTTTGATTGGTATACGATTACATCCCAGTTCTTTGGTTTAAAGGTTCTGAGTTTACTGAGGAGTTTCATACTGGGACAAAACGGTCGTCAATAAACATTCAGTGCTTTCAGGTTTTCAAGGGTTATCTTCCTTACATTGGTTCATGATATTAATAAAATTCAACAATCTCCACATCCTCATAATTACAGTTACTTACTAATTTCATGAATAATCTGACCAACTAATCTTTCTAAGAGATACAACAGTCTACAATTTGTACTATTAAATTAAAGTATGATTTTATAGTCCTGTTGTGATGTGTGCCACTAAGGTTGATAGATATAAGTAGTATGTATCATCAATCCAATGTGATATACCTGGTGGCAGAAGGTTAAGAAGAGAGAGAAGAAAAGAGAACGAGAACAAAGAATGAATGGTATGGAAACGAAAGAACAATGAAGTCTGAGACAATCAATTGACATTTTACAAATGAAGTATTCTCTGTATGATTCTCAGATTGTACTAAGAGATTCTGTAATGTTGTATTCAAATACATTCGATTGTTCCAACTTGTTTTATGGTTCACTATTCGTAATATAGAAAACTGTATTTAGTAATTGGACTTGCTGACACATAATCAACTAAAACTCTAAAGCCAATTATCCATTAAATGTAAAAGACGGTTACATAGTTTGTTACTAAGGTTTCCCCATGTAAACATAAATCACTTAATAGTAAAAAAATTGTTACTTGGGAAAGAAATACTAAGCATTCATTCCATTGTACTCTTTCTACTCTCTTAACCATATGTTCAATACTTCATTTGTACATCCTTCATTATTTATTATAAACTTTATTATCAGTATAGTGGTTGTGGAGATTGCTAAGTTTTGATTGAGATCATGGACCGATTGATATTAGACCACCGTTGAAAACCTGAAAGCAATGGACGGCCGTTTCGTCCTATTGTTGAACTCCTCAGCAGTGCGCATCCACGATCCCGCTCGATGGATTTCAACCCAGGGCCTTCAGTCTCGCGCGCGAACGCTTAACCTACTGAACCACTTAGCCGGCATCCAATGGTGTTAATGTCTAACTTCAACCAATCCGCGAAATTGCGCGACCATTTTCCATTGTACCGAGGTATATACATGTTTCTACCCGACACGGATTAGTGTTATGTATTACTGATGTCGACATAAGTAGCATACGCTACAATATTGCAAGTGAAGAGAGTTAACTTTAAACTATAGTTTCTAAGTATAATGAATCTATTGAAATGGGATCTTATGTGAATCATTAAATTTCTACACAAATAACTAAATGGAATTATAGTTTATTTCAAGAAATGTGAACGTGTAGTTATTGATCATTTGAATTGTGGAGGGTGAACAATCATACAAGAAGCTTGTGCTAACAAGTTATAATGAAACCACCGCTTTAATTGACTTTACACTATGTAACCTTTGTTGAAATATTATGTAGTTGGAGGCAGTCGGAGAATACTTGAATTCACCTAAGTTTTGTGTTAGTTGATATTCATCAATTGTCTGAGAGTTTCTAAGCCATATTAATCAGTTTCACAGTGTCAGACGTTGTTACATTAGCTATTGAAGAAATGGTCTCAAGAACTGTTTACCGAAAATTAATCGTTGAGTAGTGACCAATGCCATGTTTATTTAGTACATGGTGCTGACCGAATCCGATAGATTAACTTTCAGTTAGTTGATCATTCTATCATTATTCTATCCACAACATCAGTGAATGTTATGAGTACTCTATTCCCTCGACTAATCACACATGTTCATTTCAGATTATCTACAAATGTCAATCATAATGAGGAGAGCGATTTATGAGTTGAACAATTGTTTGTGTTTCTCAAACAATTCACAATTCTCCAGTTTGCAATCAGTGAACATTCTACTAGATTGTGTAACAAAATACAAACACACACAAACTTGTAGTGAATGATACATTTGATTCGGATTCGGATAATTAAAAATAGTACTTATTCAACAACTGATTATGATGCCTCACAAATTTATGTGATCATGCATATTCAAAACAATCTTGTTCGATTGATGACGAATGTTCAGTGTAACTGATCACTTCGTCTAATCATTCAGTAAATACTTTTCTATACCATATTCCCCAGTTCTCACATCCATCCTTCAATCTGTCAATCTTATGGAACATGTGGTCACTCAATTACACAATTCAAAATCAATGATAAGTGCGCTCCTAAACAACCAGCCTACATGTTATCAGATGTTTATTTTTAGTTTGCACTAGTATATTGTGATTACACACCTGAGTTGTTTGTATTGCTTTGTGATTGATTGTGCTTTGTGATGCATTTGTGATTGAGTGATAGTGTTTTGCCGGAAGATAAACGCAGATGCAGAAAACACCATCATCATCATCATCATCATCATCATCATCATCATTCCAATCAATACCTGAACTAGCTAATTTCGCATGAGTGTCAAATGGATGGTATGCATTAAAGTAACTTAACTCCTGCCATTTCAACTGATGTCTTTCAATGATGAGAAATGTGTGAATATTGATTGTTCTCTTGAACTCTGTAACTCTACAATCGTGTGAATTGTGTGAGTGATCATTTATGAAATTAGTAGTGATAGGTTTATTGTAAGTCGAAGCGAGTGAGACCGGGTTCACATCGTTGTATTAAGAACATGAATAAATCACTGATGAATGAGTATTTTCCCATCTAACTGTGTCTCACGAACATTGTGAATCACTTCGAACAGAATATCAAATATGTGGATGTGTCGAAACATTCGAATTTCACAACAAGAACAACAACAACGGGAATCTAACTTCATCATCTACTTTGCTTAGGTCAACTATGTATGAATAATCAACATCCCAAAATCATGTTGGATTTATGTTTAATTTGTGACAGAATTATTGATAAACATGCCGTAATTCGATCAACTCTATTATTGAACATAACAGCATTGACTGATGTAAACTACCTGGTTGTGGAGATATATATTAGTTGAATGGGATATATTCACAATATACGTGAAGACGTCACTAATGTGATGAGTGTAGTGTAGGGTAGTGTATTGTAGTGTGATTAATGAGACAGAGAATGTGGGGTGGTAGTTAACGCATGAATTATGTGAGCCATTCGATAATGCAACAACGAACAACTTGTCATCAGTCAATCAGTCATTCAGTCAGCCAGTCCGTCAGTCAGTAATTAATAACGTGAAAGAATGAGCAATTTTCAACAAATCAAACAACACACCAATATTTCCATCATCACAAACGAATCCAATTTCTACTACGTCCGTGTGGCAAATCTCACACATTCTGTATTCTCTTTATATAATGGTGATGATGAATAGATGTGAGATAATGCTCTGTGTTTCAACGGAATATTCACCATTACACAACATCAGTGAATGTTATGAGTACTCTATTCACTCGACTAGTCACACCTGTTCATTTCAACTAATCTACAAATGTTAATCATAATGAGGAGAGCGATTTATGAGCTGAACAATTGTTTGTGTTTCTCAAACATTTCACAATTCTCTAATTGGTAATCTGTGAACATTCTATTAGATTGTGTAATAAAACACGCTATCGATTTATACTGATCCGAGTTGTCAGTTTAGTGGTCAACGGGATTCAGTATAAAGTGAGAATGCACAAGATTGATTAAACCAATATTACACTCCTGATCACGTCCAGTGAGATGTGAACTTGTTCCATGTGCCGAATGTTCTGAGACAGAATGTTTCGATAAGACTACCGAAAAACAACAAACAAATACTTTCATCAGTGAATTTACCAAATTGTGTATTTTCGATTTTATTGAGAACATGAATTGTGTATTTGCATATCTTGTATTTTGGCATAGATGTTCACATCGAATGATCAAGTGATCTGGATGAAATGTGAATCAACAGACTATTTTACAATGTTAAATATTTAGAAAATCTGAATGATGAAAACAATGAGAATGGTTGTTATGCATGAACGGTGATAAAAGTGTGTTTGTTTGTTTGTTTGTGTGTGCGTGTTAGAGTAGAAGGAGTGGGAGGAATGTTTCTGGTTGTCGACGATTATGGTGATGCAGACGCCATCAACTTCTTACTATCGCGTTGTGATTCTTCATAATCAATGTCCACAACGAAGTCGGATTTCCTATCCAAATGTATACCGATAGTCAATTCGTATAAGACTGCACCGATCACAGCACCAATATACGGTCCAGCTATTGGTATCCAGAAGAAGTAGTTTCCTCCACTGAATGCTTGGTTACCCCAACCTAAACATGTGATATGAAAAACGGTGTATAATAAAGTGAGAATATGTGGATAGATTACAAACTGAATGTGATGCATATTGATCGTTATGTTATTCATTGAATATATTGAAAATATTTGGATACGAACTGTGGTAATTCTATGCAAGAGATGATTAGATGAATGTAAGTAGTAGTAGGGAAAACAATTTATGTTCAGTAGTTCACGACAGAAGTGACATCACTATGTTCAGTTTAGTGTAAGCATGCTTGATAATCAAGGCTAATGGAACTTATCTATCATCCATACATTTGTGTGATTGTATCGACAATTAAGAAACCTAATTGAATGAATTTTTCGAATCATGTTAGATTCTCCTATTAAAGTATGAGATCACATTAATCCTTCATCTGATCGATTTCCACTCTCGTCTACAATGACATTTGATCGTGAATTCCCATTGAGCACATCAATATAATCCACTCAATACACTGTATCTCAATACCAATGAAATTTGTAAGTGTTACTAACCCATATGGGACACCGCAACATGTTCGACTGTATGAAAATATGACAAATTCATCATCAACCTGTCATCCAACTGAAATGAACTGAATTGCACTTTACTGGATTGAAGTGAACATGCACGACAATTTGATTAGTGAATGAACTCACACTCTTTTTCATTTTTACTATTCGTACTAGTGTTTGTATTATTATAAGTTTTGCTATTGATAGTGGTATTATTATTAATGGTGATAGGTCGATCAACTTGTTTCACAATCCACCCACATTGTATCAAAGTGTTTTTCTGAGAAAATGGATGATTTAGGCACAATCTCGTAAATCGTTTTTCAATGACCTACATCATTCCCGATTTCAACATAACACCAACTCGAAAATACCGACGTTATTGAAAATAGGCTACATCAGTGGTATATGTCATGCATGTTTCCCTCGAGTGTGGCAGTGCATTTGTTATCATTCAACACCAGTAGAGATGACTACCATCAGTAAAGATATGTGTGTCTATTGTTTTCAAATATGTAATCTGATCGTAGGTAAGAACACCAACCACTCAGTCAGATGGTCCACATGTACACATTCACATAATTTCCCGTTCACGTTACAATAGGATTCCTGTTTGAACTGTAACGAGTGATGATCCCAGTAGATTTGAGGCTACGAACTAACTAACTAACGAGAAAGCTTATTGTGCTCAATGTGCATGATGTAAATGTATAAGATTTCTAATCATGTGGTAAACTGAATCAGTGTCAGTGTGTATCTGATGATCACGGAAATAAACTCATCTCTATAAATGCTATCGGATCAAATTGGTAAATCACAGTGTAGAGTGATTTAGAGACATTGTAAATATTTTACTTATGTGCTGACAATGTGACTGAGAACGGCAAAGTGAGCTTCGTAATCAAATCACCGAATACATATCATATTGTGACATTGATAGAATGTACTTGGTGCAAACAACCATCATTATTTCGATCAAGTTCGGCGAAATTGTGTCTGGATTTAGACTTGTTGATGGATGAGTACTTTACCAGTAAATTGCATTATCTCTACGACTATCAGCACAATGTTCAGATGTGTGTGGGAAGTACTAGTGAGGATAAACAAGTCACGTCACTCTCAAAGTTGACCAAATGTTCACAACTGCTTTGATCGATGGTCCAGTGAGCAACACAGTAATCAATCAATCAATCTGTTTTAAAACATGTATATATGAGTGTGGAAAATTCAGTATGGACTATAACAGTGAACGTTGTATGAACGGTGTTTTCTTAATCTAATCATCACTTGCTTTTCCCACTTAGTACATTACAATGAATTGGTTGGAAGTAGTGACTCATCATCATTAGTGTTTTCAGTTAAATCGATGTGAAACAGAATTTCCTATCCCCGCCAGATCAAGCAATCAAAGCATCCTTTCAATATAACGTCGATATTCACTAACATTCCACCAACACACACTAACCACAATCTTTCCACTTATATCAAATTCGAGGTATTTGTAGTATTTTGACGGAGGCATTCGGGTCGTATACGGAGAAGAAGTATTTTGACCACGTACATGTTGAGTTACTTCCCCTGTTGATGCTTCGTAATAATGTGTCACAAACAAATCTACTCACCGTCAAGTACATGAACGGATGTTGCAATAATATGAGAACTACTATTGTGAGTACGAATGGTCTAGTGGCGTTATCATCAGACTAATGAAATGTGATGTGAGTGTGATGGTGTTGAATAAATTTAACAAAATTATGAACATTACATCTGATTCAATTCCCAACAATAACGAAAATCGGTTTTGTTTGGACGAAAACCAAAACTGAAATTATTCTATTTTAGTGTAGTCAGTGATTGAGGCAATCAATTGTCAGTCGGTAAGTCAGTCAGTTAGTTTGTTAGTGAGTCAATCGATCGATTTGTGAAGTGATATCATCTGAGTTTCAGATATGTTTATGGAAGAAGTAAAATGTGAGTCTACTCATGCAACTATTAGTACTCATCAGTGAGAATTGAGAGCAAGCGAATAGTATGAATGGGAAATGAACAACTTACCGAATATAAATATCATGAGTCTGGGTCCTAAATCACGAGCTGGATTTAGAGCAGCTCCAGCATTCAATGCGAAACAACCAACAATAGCGTAGACCATAAATGCCAAATGTAGTGGGTGTAAGTAGTCTGGAAGTTTCCATCCATTCGGATCGGTGATGGCGAACGCTCCTGCTGTCAACAATGCAGTGCCGAGAATTTGATCGAGAAAGCATGTGAGATGAGATGCCGATGGATTAGTGACGAATATACCACCTGTGGAATTCACCAACAACTTCCCATTGTCATGCAAGTTGGCATATTCTATGATTTTTTCACGATATAAGGCGAAGACAACCAATGAACCGAGGAAAGCACCGAGTATTTGAAAGAATGTATAAAACGGTATACGACGGAATGGCAGTTTACCGACGACTGCAGCTGCCAAAGTCACTGCTGGATTACAGTGTCCAGAACCACACTGTCCTGAGAACATCACTGCCATGTACACTGCGAAACCCCACCCCATACTGATCGAAATGAATGTTCCATGAGCATGTCTGCCATGATCACCCAGGATCACTTGTGCTAGCACACCACTACCGAAGATCATCAAAATGATTGAACCCATGAATTCGCCCAAACATGCACGCACCAATGGACTTGAAGTCAATCGTAGACGATCAGCGATAATATGCTGTTTGTTGGCATATTTCTCTGCACACGAAACCATATTTATTCTACGACTGGCTTTTCGATAACTTCGTGTCGATTGAATTGTTACTGCCAGAATTATTTATCAATGCGAATTGTCTATCTCTATTATGTTCGGATATCTCACTGACAATTAACTGTATGATATTCGTGTGTGTGTGTGTGTGTTGATCACTGACCGTTGATTGTGTTGTTATGACCGTGTTTATTTTGATATTGAATGAAGCTGTGAGTTAAGCAGAAAATAGTCGGAGTGAATTAGAGATAGTTTGTGTATAATGTGTTTCAGATGGCGAAATGGGTAATCTATACACACTGTGTCACTTATATTGTTTTTCTTCTTACTCAATCACGCACACCCACACACACACACATGCATATCCATTCATGAACATACATTATTGGAAGCATACGCCTCCACGTACACACACACACACACTCTCACACACTCACATGTGGATTCGTAATAATTAGTTTCCATGATAGCATTCACAGAAAGCAACATACTTGATGTGTCAATCAAAAGATTGATGGATTGATTCGCCTTCATGTAATCCATGTATGAGTGTATTCTTCTTAAGCAATAGAAATAAGAGTAGTAGTAGTATTGGTGAAATTTCTATCGACATATGCAAGTAATGAACTCATATCTGTTTGATTGTCTGTCTATCTGTTTGTTTACTTTTTGGAGAGAAGACGATTTCACTCCTGTTTTTCAATGTTAATATATTTCTTATGTGATCACTGGTTATGGAGTAAGTCACTTTAGTATCTGGAGAATTTGTTGACATGTTTCACATGATCACACAAATTCCTATCAACAACTCATTTTAGTTACATTCAATTAATAAATTGTAAACGTTGTATTATTCAGTGTGATACTACAGTAGTTAATCAATCAACACGGTTTCTCAGAATATTCCTGCATGTGTGTTCATGAGTAGTAGTGGGTAAATTGGAATGTATTTGAATACACATATTACAGAATATCTTAATAAAGTGTGAGAACCATACAGTAAATACTTCATTTGTAAAATATCAATTAATTGTTTCAGACTTTATTGTTCCTTCGTTTCCATACCAATTACTCTCTGTTCTCGTTCTCTTGTCCTCGGTTTACTCAACCTTCTTCTGACAAGCATTCCACTTTCGATTGGTGATACCTACTACTTGTATCTGTCGACATCAGTAGCACACACCACATGAGGAATACTTTATTTAATTTTCGTGCAATTACTGACTAGTTAACGGACTATCTAACAGTTCATCATCGTCATCATCATCATCATCATCAAATTTTGTTATTTCAAAAATGTGAATGTCAAGGTTTTTAGTAGTTTACATCGTAAAGCGTTCGTATATCATTTGATGTCTCAATGGGAATATGTTGAAACTTCAATTTGAATTTCAGTAATTCTTTTGTAAAAGTTTGTCAACAGTCTCAATGAGGTGGTGATAGGAATAGTTATAAATGGTGTTGATCTATAGTATATGCCTCAATGTGTTGGGCATTAATGCAAGTGACCATATTCTGAGTTGTTATCGAGGATTATTATCGTTGTCAGCGAGAACAAATGTGGGGACAATCAAATCTCTTTGAACACAAAATTACATAATTCCTTAGTAAAATCTGAGTACTATACCGTAAACACTTCGTTTGCAAAGCGTTAATCAATCGTCTCCACCAGTGTGCTTGGTACCTGAGTAGTTGCGCCACAGGATTGAGCTGTACTATTCAAATTTTAGCGTTAAAGCCCATAAAGTGTCTGGTTTTTCTGTGAAGCGGGATTGAGGTGTACTGCTCGGTTTACAAAATTTAAGCCTGGACGGTGTCTGGCTCTCCTGTTAAACGAGATTGAGCTGTACTGTTTGGGTTGTCACTTGAAAGTCTGGATGGTGGCTGATTCTTTTGAAAACCAATGTAATATTACCCTGGCCCACAAGGGTATATTATATAACTAAGAACTAACTATGAATCAATCGTCTCAAACTTCACGTAATCCATTACATCGATTAGAACCATTCCTACCTGAATGTTTTATTCGTAAATTATTCTGCTTCATCTAATTGAGTTGTCAATATTTATTGTAAAGTTTCCTATAAATACTTGATAATAAACAGGTTTTCTCTTGTCCAGGTTATTATTAACATGGAATTAAAAATTTAATAGTTAAATTCACAAACCAATTCAATCTATACCACCATGGAAAACGTGGAAGTACTGGGCGGCCTTTCCGTCCTAGTTTATGACTCATCAGCAGTGTACACCCATTGCCCCGCCTCGCGAGACTCGAACCCAGGACTTAATGGTCGCGCGCGCGAACGTATAACATCTAGACAACGGAGCCACAACAATTTGGTACAGTGATTCACGTACCAACAATAAAAGTACGATGATAATAAATTGAATATATTTCATGAAGTAAACAAGTGTATGTGTTTGTGTAGTTAACGTGAACTCAATTAGGGAAAACCAATTGGAGTACCACCGTGAAATAAGAAAACTATACACCTTGCTGACGAGTGCTAAATAACACGAAACCCGGGCCAGGGTTTCCTGTTGACTACCTCCAACCACCATCTAAATCTCAATACATAGTGCTCACAGTGTCTAGTCACCTAGACTGGTGGCTTCATTGCAACATGATCGATAGCATTCGATCTGCACTAATAAGGACTAGACAAGCATGAGATTGATCACCACCCAGTGATCAATCAATTGTGATTACATCTCAGTCCTACAGGAGGTTAGTCACGGCTCGGATAGCTCAGTGGTAACGTCTCTGACTTTGAAGCTAGTTGACACGGGATCGAATCCGTTAGGGAGCACCAGTTCCCTCAAGATTGCAGGTACACCTTGCTGACGAGTGCCAAGTAGCACGAAACCCGAGTCCAGGGTTTCTTGTCGACTACCTCCAACCACTATCTAACCACAACTGGAGTTTCTTACACTTCCCATTGGTTAGTTATCTGTTTCCATTGAGGAATTATCAAATCTATGTTAAGGAATAGTTTTAACTTGAAAGTTTTTCGATGTGAATACAAATATTTACTAAACATTGATGCAAATCTAGATATTTGAATGCAAAACAATATATGAGCATACGTATACAACTAACCGACTAATGAAGTGACCACTGTCATACCTATCAAGCTCTTCAGTTTTGTTGAAAAGATCCTATCAATCAAGTTGTGGTATGATCACTAGGATATGTTACTTCATATCATGTGCACTATGTTGACATGTTAAATGATTGGACGTAACCATTAAGACACCTTGATTAGTTTCGGTTTCTTCTCTATTTGACATTGGTTAACAAGGCATACCTGTAATCTTTAGGAAACTGAAAGCTCTTGTGGTTATTGGAAGCCAGATCCAATAGCTTTACAGTTTGTAACGTTAATACTAAACTGACCAAAGATTTAATAACTATTCTTAATCAAAAGAATATGATTTGCATGTTGAAGTGCAGTTTTTCTACTCATAATCAGATCAATCACAACCTGATATATTCTCATCATTGTCAATATGCATTGATATGAATGATAACACGTTGTGTTGTTTTACTGTCCATAAATATTTATGCATCGTATGATTTGATAAATTTTCTGACTGAATGTTTGAATCAGTTTCCCAAGCTCTTCTAATAACCACCAGGCTAGATCTACACAGCAACTTGAAAACGAGAAGAAAGAAGCGAAATATGGAAGGAACACTTTACTCCAAAGGAAAGTTTATGTACAAGGAAATTGAGGATATTTATAGCATTTCAGATGGCCTTGAATTTCTGGAAGGTTGTGGAACCCTATTAAATCTAACAGCAAGATAGGTAATCATCCAATCAGAAGTGTGATACGTGACCCTTCACTTTCTAGATGATTCCGAGAAACTTCTGTTGAATGCTGATTGGATAAAATGTTTCCTAGCGTTTTCAGGGCCCCTTTGGACTTTTCTTTAGGAATTTTCTGGGCCTTCACAACAAGATTATTTAAACAAAATGAATGAAGTTAATACTGATAATTGATATGTGTAAATAATCATAAGAAACCCATTAATATAACATATTTCTTGTTTGCTTTCCATTATCATTATTGAATTACATATATTCAAGTGATTAAATGAACACTATCCATTTAAATGTTCAATACTTAAATCCCCTAGTGACACATATGAATTAATATAAATGTAGAATTAGATTAAGTGGATTTACTTTTATATAAACTCTATGTTTTCCCCACAGATTAAACCATGTTGATTGATTCATAGTTTACTTACTTACTCATTCACGCCTGTCATCCTTTGTCGAGGAGCATAGGTCAATCACCACAATCCTTTCAAGTTGTTACTTATTCTTTTGATGTCTGCTTTCAATTGTCGACACAGTGTGTTCTTTAGTGCTCTTCTTTTCCGTTTCCATTCGGATTTCCAACTTAGCGATTATTTCGTGATACAGTTTGATTATTTCCACAATGTATGTCCTATCTATTTCAAACGTTTGTTCCTGATTTCCTCCTCAACTGAAATTCGGTTTGTTCACTCCCACAATAGGTTGCTGCTAATGGTGTCCGGTCAAAGGATATTGAATATATCATGTAGACAACTATTCATAAATACTTGTAACTTTTTGATAATGGTTGTAGTGATTCTGCAAGTTTCATCTCTTTACAGTATAATTAACTGTTTTGACATTCGTATTGACGATTATGACTTTGATCTCGGTCGATTCATAGGGTTACGTTTATTCACATTCTGTTAAGGTAACTTGTTATCACTATATAGATATATATATACTACTTATTATCAGTGTCACTACACTAATTCCTCAATTCACTATGCTTTGATTATTTTAAAATGCTGTACAAATTTCAGTAGAATACTCTATTTTTGAATCCAATCCCACTATGATGATTGTTGCTTATTACGTATCTTTCTTTTTTTTTCAATATAAAACTACCGTCTTTTATAGATTTTTAATTGATTAATTACAGTATTGATTCCTAGTGATGGAATGTAGAAAACTGATTCCATACAATCTACTTAGGTATAGATTATCAATCAAAAATAGAGTGGAGAATAAAACTAGTTTTACTTGTTACATTAATCACAAAAATTACCACCAACAACGAAAAACAAACAAACAAACAAACAACGTAATCTGCTATGTTAATTGATCTATCCAAATTGTTGGCATGATGATACATAAGTAAGTGAATTCTATCTTCAAATCATATAATGAATAAATAGGTAGCTAACTAGCTAGCTAAAGAAAAAAAAAAGTAAATGGTAATTTATCATAATCGAAGTAATTATAGGTAATTTAGATCTAAGCAGAGGAAG